GCCGTAATCATGGCTCCTCTGCTCCTCACACTGCTCCATAATCATGGCTCCTCTGCTCCTCACACTGCTCCATAATCATGGCTCCTCTGCTCCTCACACTGCTCCATAATCATGGCTCCTCTGCTCCTCACGCTACTCAGTAATCACGACTCCTCTGCTTCTCACACCTCTTTGCATCAGAAGTTTCTTCTGCTCACGTCCCACAGTTTGTTATACCAGAAAAATCTTAAGAGCCTTTAAGTGGCTCAGTAATAATTCATCAGCGCAGGGGGTGCATTATCCTCTGTGGCCAGCGTGTGCTGCAACATGCATGTCGTGGGCAAACCTGACCTCTTCCTCTCTGCATGTTTCACAATGATGACCATGTGAAAATTACATGTGTATTTAATCCTGCCAAACCTGTTAATTCTTTTGCCAGGTGTGAACCCCCCACCCCCAGCTGTTACCACTCTTTACATTTTCACTAATTCTCTGTTACTCCTGCATTTCCCATGTCATGATCTCCCCTGCCACTGATCTACCATGCAATCCCATGTCTCCTGTAGATCTCCTTCTGATATGTCAAAGCTCTGAAGACAGGAAATGAAACCCCCACGCCCCCCTGCCAGAAGCAGACCCCCCCCCCCCGCTAGCGCTGGCTGCCTTTATCAGAGCGGCCTGCTCCTCACTGTCTGTGCACGGCTAATGAACTCATTTTGCACAGAGAGAATACTGCTTATCTCCACAGACACCTCCACCCCCAGTTCTTCGTGCCCCCCCCCCTTACTCTCTCATCCACAGTCAATATTATTGTTTCCAGAATGCTGTGAGATTCCCATATCTACTTTTTCATTAAAGGCCAGCGCTCAAAGAGACAGCGGCTGAGAGGCTCGGGCGGGGGGAGCTGAGCAGCGATATGGAGACAAGCAGAGCGGGGAGGATAAGATGATGGCCAGCCATGGTTCCCCGTGTCTTCCTGGGGAAAGCCTGTACTGCTGACGGATAGTGCACTATGGGGAAACAACATTTTTAAAAAGTAAAGACAAAAGTAATAAGGCCAACTTTTATCAAAGAAATAACCATCTAAGAAATTACTGCTGACAATTTTATCTTAAGCTTTATATAAAGTAGGAGATCATTTTGTATTTCTAACTTTCTTACGGAAGTCCCAACTCATTATCAAAAATACGGTACAGCGGCTCTGTGATTAAGATCATTTAGTATTTGGCGCCATCCAGCGTCTGACAAGAGATAATGCGTGATATATTAGAAGCGCAGATGAATGGTTTTGCACCCAGGGACGGATTATGGGTTGTGTGGGCCCCTGGGCAAAACGTTCGCGAGGGCCCCCACCCCCACCACCACCACCACAACCACCACAACCACCACAATTCAAGGGCCCTTGGCAGCCAAACGCCCTCCCTCCATGTTTCCATCAGAGGCCCTATAGGGTCAGGGGCCCTTGTAGGCAGAGTATCAAAGAATGTAGGCCCTCTAAAATAGACAAACGAAAATACATTGTTGATAAGCGTTGCAAATTGTTTTGGGATAGGGGCCCCACGGGCCCCCTGCACCCCAAGGGCCCCTGGCCCGGTCCGTAATCCGTCCCTGTTTGCACCCAAAACCTAAGTACACCGACATTCAGTGCCAGTCCCAGCCGATGTGGGGCCCTAGACGAGCATCACCGCCGGTGCCCCCACACTCCGCGGCAAAGTGAAATTGGCCGGCAAATCGGCGCCACCTCAGAACCTGGCTATCTAGGCAGGCACCAGTGTTGCGTATATAGGTTTGACCGACCTCGCCGACATTATATCATAATATTATAACGTTTTGCTTCTGGACATGTTCTTTCTTGAAGTCGAACAAAACCACTTGCTTTGCCTATTGCGAAATAGAAAACCAAAACTAATATAGCACACCTGGATTAGCTATTAACCAAATTAAATTTCCAAGTTCTATCGTCTGCCTGGCATTTCTTAACAACATATTTCATATTTTAATTATTATACCCCGTGTCTACAAGGTAAGTGTAGTATAAGATCGATAAGTGTCTGTAAATCATGCCAATTTTCTCAGAAAATTCATCGTATGTGTGCGTGGGTGTGTTTGTGGCGGATTCGGGGGGTGCTTTAGGGAGAAATAGCCTACGCAGTAATAAAATCACGCACCCCAAAGCGTAGATCATGGGTATTCATGCATGATCAGCTTTCTTTTTAAAATTAATAGTTATCGGGGGCAAGTCCGCAATGTATTTTATCTTCAACAGGCGCAATAACATGCAAAAGGAAACTTGTCACATGCTGGTAATTAACTGCTGATGCGAATCTCGGGAATGGTCATATGACCGCGCGCCTTCTCGTCTCCTACGTTTTTTTTTATTTCGGTGATATTTCCCTTTTGTTATTATCCAGATACAGATCAAAATATTATCTGCGTCTGCGCTTGGACATAGACAATATGAAGTGGTCATTTAAAAGAGGGAGTTTGCTTGGACAACAGCAAATGGGTAAGAGACATGGCCTTTACGTGCGCTCCACTTCTTTAGTTAACTCTGGTTTAATTAAAAGAAATAAAGAATTATAATAACGACTGAGTAGGGTTTTATAGTTATGCATGGTACGCTTCGCAAAGTGAGCCGCGTGTTTTTGTGAGTCTTAAGGGTAAATTCGTACGCATGTTACACTTCGCGGTCTGTCCACAGGACTGACCGTGCCCACCTCCCTGATCCTGCTGCTGGTTGTCCTTATCCTGGCGGTCGTCGTTTATGCTCCACCGCGATGCTGCAGGAAAAGAAACCGGGTGGAGGAGCCACTGTGACTGACCCTGCCATCCTATAACTACCGTAATATTAATTAAGGTTCGGTCAATCGCTGATCAATAACGTTGAGACAAATTAATGAATCGTATGATAGGGAGGGGGTCGTGGAGGAAAGCGCTTCATCCATCTTTACATTACAAAGTTACCACCCAGTTAGTGAAATGTATGTAATTAATCGTCTGTCCAAGTCACCCTCCGTTTCAAAATGTTTGTTTTTGTGAACTATTACTGAAGCGGACATCCGCACCCTCTGACCGGTCCCTGTCCCGTGTATGCGGTAGCTGCTTCCTCTGCTGACGCTGCGCAGCTGCTACGATTCGTGTCCCAAGCCCAGAGTCCGGCTGCTGAGGTTGCAGAACGGGACTGCCAGATGCTGCATCCCAGCTGCATTTAGTCAGCCCTGTCTCTCTTTGCTCTGGAGCTAAGCTGGAGAGATTAACCCTTCATAAGGGCGGACTTACCAAAAGGCAAGAATAGGCAGCCACCTGGGCCCCCAAAAACTAGGGGGCCATGAAGACAGAATTTCCTGAATTGAATTGAATTTCCTTGTCATTATGCACAGTAAAATGAGAGTCTATGTACAACTCCTCCATATACAATGATAAAAATAATACGATGAAAACTGTAAAAGTATACATTATGAAGACATAAATACATTGTACATATACATATAGTGCAAATGGTTCCTAAAATGGCTGCAATGTTGTGGTTGTAGTACAAACTTGTTACATTTAAGGATATAACAATATGATCATTTAAATTACAGCAACGTGTGTTATTTGTATTTTTAGTGATAGTTTTCAGGGTAGTCAATATGGCCTCAATCCCAGCTGTTATGGACTATTCTACTTTGAGACTTTGCGCTGCCCAGCTTACCGGTTATTTCACTGCCAAGTGAGCTGGCATATAGTGGCATAACAGAAGAGGGAAATGATGCAGATGTACAAGACTAACATGACGTCTCCCGTATCTTTGATACTGTCCCGCTAGAATGGCCAACAAATTGTGAACGGACGTGATGAGAACACAAACAATCATATGCACAAATTCAAGACAAACCTTTTAGCAAAAGAGGGAACAGATAAACTTGACTGATCGCTCCTCCGGCACGATACCCCCTCGCCCCACCAGCAAATTTTACCAACAGCATTCCCGTCCCCACCCTGATCAGCAAGTTTTTCTGCTGGCCCCCCGCTCTTTGATTTTAATATTATTGATTCTCCATCGTTTTTAAACCCCTTGTTTCCCTTTCAACTCCCAAAAAATCTCCAATGGCCGACTTAGGGCCCCTCCTCCCATGTCAGCCTAAGGGCCCCCAGAGAAGTCAGTCTGCCCCTGACCCCTCGGGTCACATTGTACCTGCATCTTGTGGAGGTTCAATTAGGTGAAGTAGGGATCCCACTTCCAGTCCTGTAGAGCCAGTTTGTACAGTTCCCTGTTCAAACACACCTGTTATACCTGCTAATTAGCTGAATAAGGTGTGATTGAGCAGGGAGATCGGCAAACTGTGTTGGATTTTGGCCTCCAACAGCAGAACTGGGGAACCCGGAGGTAAAGGGTGATTTTCTGCAGTGCCTGCACTCTGCCATACAGCCAGCAGGTGGCAGCATTCATCAATGTAATGGATACTGTGTCGCGTTATGGTCTTGGAAAGCTTGGCTACCCCCTGGAGCAATGGTAGCAAGAAAAATCACTGTGCAGCAAATGAAGCAGTTTTGCCTAAGTGTATATTCATAAATCCAGCGCCAGTATATTATACCCATGATGCAAAATGTCTCGGCCTCCATAATGTTTTGTGTGCACCTCTGTGCTAATCGTATTTCTTCATACACACCTTGTAAAGACCTGCTTTGTGTGGATAGAAGAGGTTCCCCTCCACAGGGTATGAAAGAGGCCAAATATGCTGACGCGCCTAATTGAAGCTTCTGCTTGGTGCAGTTCTCCTTTCAGCACATAGGGGGCATCCCCTAAAGTCCTGGCTGTGGGTCACAGTCAGAACCTGCCTTGCTTTTACAGGGCAAACACGTGCTAGCCCTCCCCATGCACCTCCCAATCCAGTGAGTGAGACGTTATGGTGATGTTTAATGAAGACAAAGAACAACAAGACAAGGAGCTGTGGGACATGGAGGCGCCAAGCAAGCATATACATGCAGTTAGCTTAGTGTCTCCCTGCCAACAAAAGCGTGTGACATCACCATCCTGCTCACTGTCACCTTTTCTTGTCGTCCTACCCAGGACTCCGCCTGTGTATAAAGCCCCAGTGATGTCATTTTATTTTCCTTCAGCTGCAGAATAGAGAAGATTAACTGGAGCGCTTTTAACATCCACCCCCCACCATCTTTCTAAGTGTCACATGAAGACAAACCCAAACCCTTTCTTTCCCCTGCCTGCTGCCATGTGAATGCTGTGCAGCCTGTGAGGTGGCGCTCTCTCCCTCCGCACCTCCTTCTGCCGTGTGAATGCTGTGCAGCCTGTGAGGTGGCGCTCTCTCCCTCCACACCGCCATCGCCTGCTCCATCTCGCGCAGTGTCTCTCCCCTTCAGCCTCTCTGCCTGCCTCTCCTGGGATGCCAGGCTCTAGTGGCACAACCTGGTCCCTGACGCAGATGTCCGTCCTTCCAGCTCCCCTGAAGGCCACAGGCGTTTCTCCTCTGCTGCTATTTACTGAGGCAACAGTTTTTTATATACATGATTTCTTTATTATTGTTAAACTTATATGAAATGTTTCCATGGAGAACTGGCAGGTGTGTGTAGTTTGAGACGGAAATACTCATCCTGCGTAAGCGGTGAGTAGTGCTCACACTCTGGTTCTTCCTCCTTATTAGTTTCTTCTCCTCCTGCTCCTGTCTTTGCCCCTGCTCCACATTCTGCTCCCAATCCAGTCTTTGTTCCTGCTGCTGATTATCCTCCTGCTCCAGTCTCTACTCTTGCTCCACATTCTCCTTATGCTCCGGTCTTTGCTCCTGCTCCAGTTTCTCCTCCTGCTCCAGTCTTTTCTCCCATTCTGGTTTCTCCTCCTGCTCCACCCTTTGCTCCCACTCCACATTCTCCTCATGCTCCGGTCTTTGCTCCTGCTTCAGGTTCTCCTCCTGCTCCTGTCTTTGCTCCTGCTCCAGTTTCCACTCCCAGCTTATCCTCCTCCTGCTCGGATGTCTCCTCCCACTGATTCCCGTCTCCATTCTCCTATCGCCTCGCGCAGATCAATGGCTGGGTGGTACGAAAGATTCTGAAGGCTTCTGGAATAACATTGTTCAGGGAAAGCTGGTGAATGTGCAGCCATGTGGTCAGCTGGCTGGGGGCGGAGGCGAGGGGGACAGAGGCGCCAGGTTTGAGAAGTTCGCCCTGTCCATTCTACATACTATAACTGCAGGAAATTATCTACCACACTATCCTGTTGCCCTGTATTCATACACAGGAAATGATGATGTACAAAATATTTGAAAGGCTAAAGTTTCCTAGGATTCGCTCCTTCTCGCTCTCCTGCATATTCACTTACCGTTTCTTCGAGGGATCCTGCCACCTTCTGGAGTCGAGCCCTCCAGCACCCCTTGTGCTAAGTTTTGGGTTTCGATTTTGGAATGGCGGACTTCCTGTTTCTGCGCCAGCTGCTCTGTTTCCCCCGTTGATGCAGGGAGGCCTGACGTGTTTGGACTGTCGTAGTGGCAACCTGCGTGTCACCTTGGCTGGTGACGGGTGTCCCACACGCTGCCTGAGCTGCCTGTTGGGGGGAGGGTCACAGGGAGCAGCACGCAGGAGGACACAGGAGGGTGGGGATGGGAGGTGAAAAATGCAAGGTGTTCAGGATCTGAGGGGCTTTGCAGAGGGCAGCTAGCCAGACAAAGTCATATATTTAATGACAATACAGTCTACAGTGCACACGTTATTATCAGGAATATTTGCATGTTTTATGTTCTGTTATTTTCCCATAGAAAGGAAATTGGTATGCTGAGAAATATTGCTCTTGGATCCTGAGGTTCTGGATCTTGCTGGAGGAAATCTTTGCCTATTTCTCCATTATGGGAATTTTGGTATCCGCCCCCCCTCCCCAGTTTTGTTCAAACTTATTGGTTCTTTTGTAGATTGTTTTTCTAGTTCAGATCATGGCTGGGATTAAGATCACTGCCCCGGAATGTTGGTTTTGTGGTCAGTCTGGTGTATCTTTCCTTTTGGGTTAGCCGAGACTGACCGATATGAGAACAAGCTCCAGACTGTTGGAAAGGAAATAAGATGTTTGGCCAAAGTGTCTTGGTGCTTTGCTGGGCTACAAGATCCTATCTGCCTTGCAAGAGTGACCAAATGGAAGGCAAACTCCGAAGACACACACTGAAGGAGGCTTTCGTAATCCTTTGGACACGGCCTTCATTCTGAGTCCAAACAAAACAATGGTGGACGATCACAGAAAGCACAGTTTTGTCTCATCGGATGATAATAAAGTTTTGATGTGCCGTATTCTGCCGCTTCTTTGCTTTTCCTTGTAATTGTGGCTGACAATGGGCTGGAAGTGTGTGTGACTTCCTCTGCATACCCCTGAGAGAGCGGAAGCCACAATGGGTCACTCTGCCTTTCCCTGACTGCACACTTCAAAGCATAGTGTGTTGACGTCTGATGAATCTGATGTCCTAGGATGCTTGAAGATTACATACATTTTGAAGCCCAAAATGAGAAAATACTCATTTGGAACACGGCTGACTTCGTGGAAGGCTGTGAAGATCAAAATTCATCTACAAAATGTAGCTATTTGCCTTTTATCCAACATTTTGTTTACTGGAGCCTCTCTGTAAGGCAGAGGTTATATTACCCACAATGCCCTTGATGCCCTGCTCGTCAGAGATTGGTTCTGTTCATAACAATAATCAGCCAGATAGATGTGATAAGACTGTGGAGCAGAGTGACAGTCCCATCAGGTACAGTTTCCACTCCATGCCTAAATCCACGTGCTGTGCATAAACCTTTGGATGAGTGGCTTTAGCTCACGGGGCTCAGTTGGGACAGCATTCTTCAGCATGGCTGTCCTGTCCACAAAGCCCCGCCCACTGTCATCCCCTCTGTAATCCAAATCCCAGATAAACTGGCAGCCAGAGAAGAGACTGAGACGGGTATTCGTGCAACCCACACTATGTTTTATTGACGTCTGTTAACAGTGTGGAGATTCCTCTTTAAAATGCCTCTCCAGGGTGTGGCATCTTCAGCGTGGCGTCTGTCATGTCACATGGGGTGCTCTTTGTCAGGTGTCCCCGCTGTCGGTCCAGCTGTTCCCTGTGCTTCTCTGTGCAGACTGTGCTCCTCCAGCCTGTGTTCCTTCACCTGCTGCTGTAGCTGCGATACCCTGGAACTAAAAGCCAAACACATGGGGACATGGCAGCACAGTCCCAGGACAGTCAGACACACGCCAGCGGACCCGGCGTTCCCTACCTGCCGTCTCGCTCTCCACCCATCGATCTCTGCAGCTCCTGCACCGTGAGCTCCAAACCAAGGTGGTAATAGGGTCCAGCCGAGTGGCAATAGGGGGCGCCACAGAGATGGATGATCTGGCAGGAGCTCCATGGAGGAGGTGAGGTCCTCATCAGGTTATGGGCCAGGAAATTCAAAGGGTTGAAGCTGTGCTGGGGAGCTGCCTCGCTTTCCTCAGTCGCGCTCCCTCTTGCTACCTCCCCCCTTGCCTCTGCCTCTCTGAGAAGCTTCTCCAAGCAGGGAATCAGTGTTGGCAAAATGTTTTTCAGCAGGTAAACCCTGAAGATCCCAAGATGTGTGTGTGTGAATCTCCATGCTGCAGTTACCTCTTTGTGGGGGGTTTCACATAGTCTTCCAGCTTTTATGGACTGAAAATGCATATACAGTACCTGATCTCTTTATTCTCATCAGCATCCAGCCAATCACGTGCGAGTGCCACATCCCAGGCCTCTCTGATTGGTCTGGCTCCATGGCCACAGCCCTGGAGCTCCGTCTTCCTCTTCAGCTCCGACGGCTGTCCCTCAGTTGGCTGCTGCAGGCTGCAGTACCACTGGTCTCCACTAGAGTGAAGAGCTGCCATATTAATTTATTCTCAAACTGACAGCTGGAAGATGTGGGGTGGGGGTGCCTTCGAAGATGGGCTACGAATGAGTTGGGTATCAGTCTGTAAGAGATAAGCAGGAGCGTTTGCATACACTTACTAAGCAAAAGCGTAATTACACACAGCCAGAAGTTTAGTATTGTGCATAAGACATTGCTGGACAGCCAGTTGACTGTATTTTTAATGCCACAGCGTAGGAATAAAGTCTCGCTAGGGATGGCCAATGGACAAACAGACAGCATGGCTTTGTAGTCAGTTCTGACACATCTAACAGCAGAGCTGCAGCCAGCGCTGTCGCCGTGGCGTCGATGTGTCTTGCAGCCCGGTGCGCTCAACTTGCTCACCTTTCTTTTGGCAAACCTTCATCCTCTTGGTTTGTCTTCACGCTGGATTCCAGACGTATCCCTCGCTCTGCGGTAGGATGCAGCAGGACAGGAAAATCGGAGGCGTCCTCACCCCTTGTTGTCCCTGGTGTGTTGTGGCGTCTGCTGGTTGCTAGGCGCCACTAACTATGTGGTGTGGAGCAGTAAATACAATCGGGCATGACAGTGTGTGTGTGTGTGTGTGTGGGAGGGGTGACATCAACTGAAACCTGATCTCAGACCGCAGCAGTGCCGCTGAGATGCCTAGTGCAGTGATATTTATCAACAGCTAGACTGTAATGCTTAGCCCAGAGGAAGCAGAGTGGCAATTTGAATGCTAGTGACAGATTTCTTATTCTTAATGGGCCCTGTGTAGATGCTGGAGGGTAACATAAGAGACCTGGAGTGAGCGGTAGAATCAGGGCTAATCAGCAAGCTGTCTGAGCTTCGCAGCCTAATGATGGAGGAGGCTCGTTTTCAGAGGCTCGGTGGTGGCAGCTCGCGTGACTGGCGCTCTGACATAATGCTCCTACCTCAGCGTCTCAGGCTTCTGTTACAGCTTTTGCAGTCAAAACACTGGATGGCAGTGCAAGAAAGTCTGATTTGCTTGGATTTAGAAGGCAAAGAAAGCCGAGATAAAGACACATTGTATAAAAGACTTGGGGGAAATCAGGAAATATTTGCCTGTATGCAGGAAAACTGTTTTCTCTCCGTCTCTTGTTTCCATTTTATATCCACACATACATCCAAACACTATTGTTAATGGTGATTGCAGTATTTGAGTTTACTTGTCAACTGTTCACTAACAATACTTTTTGTTGGTTACTTTGATTTAACTGTTATCTGTTTATTATTGTTAAATTGCTTTAGCAATGCAGCTCATTGTCAGGACAATCGACATCCACGATATAATGTGACGTAATGCACTAATTATAACAGCATCAACGGATGCCAATACGTAAAGCAGCATGCACAGTTCATGTGTAGAGTGTCCGGCCGCCTTTCTTTGCTTCTTCCTCCCTTTCTCACTCAAATAAAGAGGAAGTATGCAGCAGTGGAGGCCGTGCTGCACAGGAAGTGACATCTGAACCATATCCCACTTCCTGTCTTCACAGCTCTGCGGCTGTGCAGTCTGCACGATAAGAAACAAGCTGACGGCTACAGAACCAGAAACAGATAATGTGCTGAGAGGGTCGTTCTCACGCACTCGCACGCAAGCTGGCCAGACACCGACATCTGAAGGACACATAGTTCAGGACACAAAAAAATGTCTTGGTGTCATTTAGGTGACATTTTTTGTTTGCAATCTTTTTTACTTTTCCAAAATGCCTAATAATGTGAATAATGTTGAAAAGTGAATTTTGTGAATACGATGTCTGTAAATACCATACGTCACATGTGGAATTGGAGAACCTCATAAAGGACACGTTACTAACCTCACACTGAGATGGTGATCTCACACTGTCAGGGTTCTGAGTTTGAATGCTGCCCCCTGCTCTGTGTGTGTGCGGTTTGATTGCTCTCTCTCTGTTTGTGCTTATTTTCTTTGGATACCCTGGGTTTCTCCACTGGGCATCCTGTCAAGGGTGTACCCCAGCCCCATGCCCTGTGACGGACTGGCATCCCGTCCAAGGTATACCCCAGCCCTGTGACGGACTAGCATCCCCTTCAGGGTGCCCTGCGTTTTGTTTTCCTGCTTTCATGTTCCTGTGTTGGTTCCGTATCTGGATGTGCACAGCATGCAGTCGGAGCACACGGGGGATGTTCTTATAGCCCCGAGAAAAAGAAAATGCCCGATTGCAGTATGAACAACAGAACCGGAAAAACTCTGCTTTGGGTAAAATGTAAATGATGAAATATAATTGTTGAGAAGTTTATGGTAAGCCTTTATACAGGTATTGTTTTCATTTTGTGTCACTCGCGGAAATTAAGCAGAATATCTGACGGCATGTAAATGTAAAAAGCACACACGCGTCTTCCAGGTGTTCTTACATTTGCCTAATAACGTCCGCAGTCCTTGGGCGGCGCACACAGAGTTAAGGCCAGCCCGGGTTTGACAGCTGGCGGGCGATGCGCATGCGCGGCGGGAGGAGCCGTAGCAGCCCGCAGCCAAGCCGAGCCGCACGGTGCTATGTCAGTGCGCAAGCGGCAGCGGCTTCATCCCAGCTCACCGACTAGCGGACCCTGAATGGCCCTGGTTACCGTACAGCGCTCGCCCACCCCCAGCGCCACTTCCAGCCCCGCCGTCTCGGTGAGTCGCCGCTCTTTGGCCCCCCACCATCTGTTTTCTTCGCTGTTTGTCTTTTGAGTTCCTTTCTGCTGCTTTTCAGCCTCCTCGGAGCACTCATACGCCAAATTGTGTCCTACGGTTATGCGCCTGCGCATGCGTGCTGATTATTACATTAAATTGTGATAATGTGATTTTTATTTCTCCTGTAATTAAATTTGCGAGTGATGCATCCTGCAGGGATTTTGTTGTAGAATAATGTGCTGTAACGGACCGTACTTTGAGGCAGTTTCATGCTGATGTAGTTCTGCGTGGAGAAAGCGCAGCTGGCGACCCCGCGGAACTTAGACCCACGTGAAAGTGAAGGTACATTTCCATGCCTTTCCGAATAGCGGAACTGGAATTTTGGGCGTGAACGTCAGTAAATTAAGCCGCACGTTGTTTAATCTGTGCGCGCCGTGAAACCGGTGGTAATCGCCAGTCCGCACCCGGCGTTCTTGCTTCCCGGCCCCGTTTCGTTTACGTAGCGCCACTGCTTTCCTTAGCTCTGCTCTTTCATCTTTAATATTCTGATGGCCAGATGTCTCCGCTATGGCATCGCTGACCTCCACACGCGAGCCGGTAGGTGCCGCGACACTCAGCCATGCTGCCTGTATGAAACTCCCCAGCAGTGATGGTCCCGGGCTCGCTGCGGTGAGCAGATATAACCGCCTGCCTGTGAAACCTGCTCCTTGTCTTTTTCCACCGGATGAAACGTTTCCATCTATCATTTTCGAGCGTCCGCTTTAGGGATATTTATGACAGCCCCCAATATGACCTACACGGGTTTTTTGTAACTTCTTTTTATTATAACGGCTGTCACTTTAGGGCGGACTTTTTAAACGCAAATATAAAATGCTGGGGTGGGACGGGAAAGTGTTTCAGAAGTTGGCCGACGCCGATCGGACGTACAGCGCCCCCCGCATCCTTCTCTGCCGGCTGGCCCTTTGTTCTGTGGTTTGAGGGGGGGCACGGGGATCCCGCATCCGCGCGGTGTGGGGACAGGGGACAACAAGGGACAGCGCTGTCCTTTTTCCCTCAACATTTTCTTTGCTCAGTTTTTTTGTGTGAATTTTGTGAGTTTTGTGTGAATAACTTTGACAATGACTACTACTAAGTATGTGACGGCGAAAAAAGTGAGACAGTATAATTTTTTAGCTGTATGTAGTGTGCATATGAATAGGCGTACGTTATAGAGGGACGTCATTCATATGCATGAGCTGTTTAATGTTGCAGTCCAGCTCGGAGTAAACTGACTGATTTTTGTAGTGTTCCGACAAGGACATCAGCACTGAACCTGTCGTATCTTCAAAAAAATAGCACAGGTGTCTGGTTAGTAAGCTGCCTGTTTGTTCCTCTCTCTCTATTTCTTTTTTTTTGGGGGGGGTTAGTTATTCTGAAAGCCATTTAAAACCGAAAGAAGAACTTTATTTGTCCAACAGGACTTCCCAGAGGCAGGGGAAGTATTGACTGAACTCTGTACATTGTACTCAAATCCTCCTTCTTGCTGTGGAGTTGGGGGTATTGTGAGGGGGTGCCGATGTTTAACATTGTAGCCTACAGGATTGGGGGACCAGGAAGAGCTGCTGAATGGAGTGAGGGATACAGTAATCTTCCTGCATACCTTAGATTCCCACAAACTCCACTGATGTCTGGCAAACATACAACTTTACTCTGAAAAGAAAAACATGTTTTTCTATAGTGCAATTTTTCAAAGCTCAACAGTTGTTGCCATTCTCCTCTACGTGTTCTTGGGTGATAAATCGCTAGCTCACAAATGTTATTATAAAAGTATATGAAAAGAGATTAACTGAATTCAAAGAGCTAAGGGCTGAAGTTCATGCTTGGCTTGCACTATAAATCCTATATTATGATTTGTGACATCAAACTCAGAAATTACATCTTATTTTTCATATTTCTACTGGGTTTGGGATTCCATCTGAAAATATGCATGGAATTTTGCAAATATTACGTCAGACAGTGTTCTGTTGTTGTACAAACGGCAGCTATGAACCAAAAAAGAATCAGGTTATGTAAGTGGATGAGCTTATTCCCCTTGGGGTCCTTAGAGGACCAGCTGCCTGGCATATGACCTTAACAAGGAGCCGACACAAGCTGTCTCATGAAATGCCTGGAGAAAAGATTTGCTTTTTATTTAAAATTTTTTGTTATAATGAGTTTGAATTGCTGAATCTGTGGGTCTGATTTGGTTAACAATGCAGTAGGTGTTTTGGATATTTCCCGTGAACTCTTTTCAACGTTAACCTAAAATTTGAATCTTCATAATACTGGTCACGGTGTATCTGCATACAGCCCCTGTGTTCCAATCACTGTGAGACCTGACCTTGCATTTCGGTGTCTCCATAGCCGGAAGTCAGTGTCTGACTGCGACAGGCGTCTCCATATTCACCCGGCAGCCTCTGTTCACTGGAGGCTGAATAAGTCAGGTGGAAGCCCCGAGTTGCTGCATCCAAACCCTGCCATCAGCCTGTGTCAGGAACGCTGAACATCTGACCAGACTCTCTTACTCCTGATGCGGGCCAATGTAGCGCAGAATCTGCCTAGTAGCACGTAGAATCTCTGCTCTCACTGGCTTAGGTGGAAGCTGCCCGCCCCAGCCAGTGTGCGCTGACGTGGTTGCCGTGGTGACCAGCTTGCACATGCTATATGCATGATAGCTTGGTGAATACGGGTAGCATGGTCAAGTGGTTTGGGAGGGGTGTGTTTCTGTCTGTGTTTATTTGCTCGGTCAGTCTTCAGTAATGGTCTGAGGTAATTTTATTGGAAAGTGTGTAAATTAAAAGCAGGCGGAGCACGAGTGAGAGAGGTTGTGTGGTTCCTGAGTCATCTTTTCCTTGCCATTATAAAAATGCTAACTTTTATTTCTGAGATAGCATAGTTCCACAACCAAAGTCGTTT